CCCCCGGAAAAAAGAAGGAAAGGATGAAAGCAAAAAATAAAGAATTGAAAAAGAGCTAGAGTAGGAGTCCGGCTCCTTATTGAGAACATGGAATCAGAAGTTGGTATTTCAAACTTCAATGTTGCTACTTTGATTTTATATGATATCTGCTCTTCCATTTTCTGATGTGCCACTATCTCATATCTCTTTGTTTTTTTAATGTTGCTTAATCAACTTGTATACTATTCTTCTTTGTGTTTTGACCCTGAGGATGCCCTAAAATGCTCCTTTGCTTTGTGTTATAGACCTGAGATGGTTGTTGGTTGGTATCATTCACATCCTGGATTTGGCTGCTGGCTTTCTGGTGTTGACATCAATACTCAGCAGGTTATCCTTGTCCTTTTCCATTTTGATTGTTAGCTAGTTCCTATTGACTTGGAAATGTTCTATGTGAGTAAGAATTGTTGACCATTCTGTGTGAGTTCTTTAATGGTAGATCAAATCACCCTGAGGTAAATGATCATCTTTGATTAATATGGAATTGAGAGAAACATGCTCTGTAATATGGACTGAATACCCTGTAATATGAAATTTGACAAAGGCGGTGAATGTGGCATAAAAACCATGCAATATAAAATAATGGAATGAGAAAAGCAAGACTGGATGTTCTGTAATATGAAATTTTACTAGGCGGTGAAATTTGGCATAGTAATACCTTGCAAAGTAGTGCGATTTGTTATCCCTTTTTTTTGAATTGGCGGAGATCAAGAATTTTTCTTAAGGAGAAGAGTTATGTTACTAGAGTCTGTTTAAAAGTATTGGGAAGTGTTTTTGTGAGGATTATATTTACTTTCATCCTTTGAAGTAGGTGCTAAATTGGAACAGTTTCTTTATTTTGGAATACATCCTTCCTTTGAGTTAGGCACTTAGTGGTTGTGTCATTCAGTGACCAAATAAGTTGAGACTTAAGATCTCAATCCCATCCAGGTACAGAGACGGGGTAATGTCAAGAACTTTGTTTGGTAAGAAAGCAGATGAGAGAGGGAGGGACGGAGGGAGGGGTTGATATACTTCTTAAGGTGAATGTTATAACTTGCTGTTTTTTATATAAAGAGCTGGTGTAGGAACTCACTTCTGCTGTATTACAAAGAAGGGGCAGAAATCTCACATCCCTAGAAAACCTCTTTTTGTGGTGGTTGTCTTTTGCATTCTAGAGCTGTAATTTGTTGGCATCTCCATGACAATTCTGCTATGATAGAAATAGGAAGGCTGGTGTCACTCTTTTATGATAGAACAAAATCCTCTGGACAGACCATTATGGCTTTCTGTATTGACTAGCATGGGAGAATCATAGAAATGGACTGAAACAAAATTCTGTTTGCAAGGGTTAGAAAGGTAAGTACATAAAAACTTAATTTAATATGACGGGGAAGAGAGAGTTCTCCCATCTCCCCCTCCCTCTAAATAACAAATAAACAGGATAGTGAGAAACAGAGTCGAGGAAAAAAAAGAAACAGAATAAATAGTTTATCCAACTTTGCGCTCTTGAGTGTTCATTTGCATTTTGGTAAAGCAGATGAGCACATGAACCTATCAACTTGACTTGATTCCTATCAGGATGTCGATTTGGTGTGTTTTCGACATGGTCTTCATGTGGAGTACTCCAATAGCTAATGAATGATCTATTATGCAGAGTTTTGAAGCACTGAATCAACGAGCAGTGGCTGTGGTGGTGGACCCTATTCAAAGTGTTAAAGGGAAGGTGGTAATTGATGCCTTTCGCTTGATCAATCCCCAAACTATGATGCTTGGCCAAGAGCCACGTCAGACAACATCAAATCTGGGACATTTGAACAAACCATCTATCCAAGTAAGTGCCATTTGTTAATCCTCATATATCTATGCAAGATGCACCGCCCCTCCCACCCACACACACATCCACATACCCAGTCTCCCTGTATGTGCGGCCCATTACTTCCTGATTCGGTCCCGCTGATGGTGATACTTATAAATGGAATATCTGCTGCACGATTTTCACGGCTTTTTAGTAAAACATAGTTCCACTAGTCTTAAAAAGTCTAGTTGATTCATATTTCCCAATTAAAACTTGTTGTCCGAGAACCACTCTTCAACAATTTTTTTTAAAAATATTTTCCTTCCACTACATTTGTGATGCTCAATTAAAAGTAACTTCTTAGTTAAGACCATCAAACTGTGTTGCATAAAGCCATTAACTCGTTGATGGAGTTTTTTCAGTTTCAATTTTTTTGGGTTCTTATAGATGCATTTTGCAGGCATTGATCCATGGTTTGAACAGACACTACTA